AACATCTTTGTTTGTATGTGGTGCTGAGGATCGAACCCGGGCCGCACGCATGCCAGGCGAGCGCGCTACCGCTTGAGCCACATCCCCAGCCCCATACCACACTTCCTTATTATAAACGTGTATTAGTGAAGGAATTGGAGTACTTTTGTCATAAATATTATATGAAGATATTATAAAAATAAAATACATGTTGTTTAAGTAGCATGTGATTTTGTTATTTATAGGAAAAAACTACAGTAGAGGGTGAAAATCCCCAATTTTTCCAAATTATAAGTTTAAGATTGTTTTGGCCCAATCTGTATTGTGGCCCTCAGTTCTATTTGAGACTTGTATAAGATATACTTGTGATCTTTATTTTACCTCCAGCCAATATGAACTTAATCTTTATGATCTCAATATGTTTCAGAATTTAGTTAGCCAAAATACACAGTATTTGAAGATATAATGCTTATGAAAAGGATATATTTGTTGGTGTAAATACTAAGGTATCTCGTTTGTAAAAATGCATGACAATTCCCATGTTCAGTAAAAGACAAGGGAAATGTTTTGTTAATATTCTTTTCTAGAAACAGATTGGATAATTGTTACATTGGTAAATAATGGTAGTTTACTACTAGGAACAGGTAATTTGAAATAAACCACAGTTAATCCTTAATCTCTAAATAGTTTATATTTTTCTATTAGGTAGTTTATAATATGCCTCAGCCCTTTAGTAAAAATGTTGCCTGTTTCTCTCAATACATAGAATAGGTTTATGAAAGTTCATTTATTCATTTTATTTAGATTGGAAGTAAAAGACAAGACTGATGAACTACGTTTGCTTAATGATACACTAGCAAGTGAACAGAAAAAATCAAGAGAGCTCCAGTGGGCCTTAGAGAAGGAAAAAGCCAAATTGGGACGCAATGAAGAGAGAGATAAAGAACAACTTGAGGTATTCTCTTTGCCCTTCTGTTTTTGGAAAATCTAAATTCTTGAAATTTTTCTCTGTCTAAAATGTCAATCTTAATCGCTGGGATTGTGGCTCAGTGGTAGAGCACTTGCCTACCACGTGTGAGGCACTGGGTTCAAACCTCAGCACCACGTAAAATAAATAAATTAAATAAAGGTATTGTGTCCCTCTATAACTAAAAAAAATATTTTTAAAAAAATGACAACCTTAGACTCTTGTATGTGTTGAATATTGTTGTGGTGTTATCTAAACTGAATTATGAGGAAATGTTAATGGTACGATAAATTTTTGTTATATCCGAGGAAGCAGACAGATTGCTCTGCTGCACCATATTTTTGGGATATGAATTAGTACACACACATTTTAATAAATAGGGCAGTTGTGTCTGTTTAATACTAAAGTAGTTTTTTGGTTCCTGTTTCCTCTTAAAGAAGGGTAAAAAGAATACTTTCCTGGTACCAGGAGCCCTTCTGTTATACTTCAAGAATATTTAAAATGAACATTGGGGGCTGGAGCTGGGGCTGGGGCTCCTGTGGTAGAGTGCTCACCTAGCATGCGTGAGGCACTGGATTCGATCATCAGCACCACATAAAAAAAATAAAACAAAGGTATTGTGTCCACCTATAAATATATATAAATATATTTTTAAAAAACTAAAAAAAGAACATTAGGCTTTCTCAGAAACTTATTCATACAGAAGTACTTAACAATAAAAAAAAACTATTAAAACAGTGAAACTGTGAAGCAAAAACACATTTTTTTTTTCAGGCACTTTCAAGATCATAGTTTATTTATTATTTCAGATAAAAAGATAGTATACATATTAGGGAATCCCTTAAAATTCAACTCTAGAGTTATACACCATCTAGTACTTTTGCAATGAATGTTAACCAAAGAAATTCCTAAACACCTGAAAGCCCCACTATTAACATGAACTATAGTAATAAAAAATTGACATTTAATTTGTTCAATGTATAGTATTTACATTATGAAACCAATGGTGGTATGATAAACAGTGATAAAGAAATAGTAAAAATAAACTTTAAAAGCAAAGGTTTCTAGTCTTACAATGTGCTAATTATCATAATTGTATATAAAAAATTAAAACAGCAGAGCTTTCTGTTACAAAATTCTTAATCATCTGAGTTGTAGTCATTACTTGCTACCAATTTACATGCAACATCTGCTAGGACTGACATTTGATTTTTTTTTCCCCCCAAGGAAGTGTAAGTAGTTAAATGACATTTCAGAGCAGACATTAATTTACTTTTTGACAGAAAAAAAACTGTACTCAAGATTAGTACTGGTCACAAGCCTCTTCCCTACAGAAATCATAAGGACAGTTAAGACACACCCCCTCAAAAAAAAAAATCCAAAAACAGATGCAAAGTACCATGAATGGCAGAGCTCAAAAAAATCCCAGCACCAATCCAGATACACATTTTTTCTCTCTTTCAACGATGAGAGGTCTATTTTGCCATCAAATAACAATGACTGAAGCTAGTAAGGGACACCAGGTGTACAACTAATCAAATCTTGCAAAATACTAAGATGGAGGCAGGGTGGCCAGAAGAAGGAGTAATTTATATATAATTCAAACTATATACAGCTTAACTGGAATGCAGCTCATCCCAAACTGGCTTTCTGAAACAACTGGACCTTTATGATTTAATAGTTAAAATTATAACAAGTGTAATCATACAATAGATTTACATGGGAAGCAAAAATCCAAGGGGCATTTTATATTAAGTATTTACTGTGCTGTCTCAATTTAAAAATAATTTTGCTAAGTATACATCTCAACTGAGGTCTATGTATAAAATGTCCTAATAGATACAGATATTTACCTTTGGTGAGTTGAAGGCCTTGTTGTGACTTCTGTCTGAATTGTAGGCAGAATGATATAGATGGGCATGCATATGTGGGAAAACTCAAGTTGAGGTAATCCAGAAACTGTGCAAGTGAGGTGACTGGAAGTACTTTGAAGACAAAGTACATCAGAAACCCAAAACAGGTAACAGTGAGAATGGCAACGGGGGAATGGAATGCCAATATGGCAGTAAATTTGTTAAAAACAGAAAGAGGAAGGCCTCTTGTACCAGCAGAATCCTGCATACATACAAAAAGAAAAAGCCACCCACCATTTTATAAAACAAAAGCCAATTATAGTGTGGGAAAGTACAAACTGCAGAAAACCAGAAGTCAATAGAAGAAAAACTACTGGTTTGCATGAAAGAAACATTTCATTCCGACAGAGTTACTTGGTGAATGCCGCCACCACTGCCCACAGAACCTCGTTGGTGTTGGCCTTCAGACATTCCACCTCGGGGTCTAAGTCAAGAAGCTGCACTCTCTTGGTAGCTAAGTCATACTGCTCATCCAGAAGAGGTGCAAAGGCATTCTCCAGGACATCCGAGGCATGGGCTAAGTAAATGAGAGCCAGCAAGCGCTTGTCCATGCGGTGAGGGTCATTCACCCATTTGTCAAGAACAGCTTCTTGTACCTTCTTGATGAGGTGCTGCTTAATGTTGTTATTGGTGAGAGGATGTGTCGTCATGTCAAAAAGTAGGAAGTTCTGTTTCTCTGTCGTCAGTACACCCTTTTCCACCAGGTTTTTAGCTAATCGTTCCCTCACGTTTCTTAATTGATAATGCAATTTTAATGGATTCCATGTCTCACCACTAAGTAATTCAATCCAGTTCTGGACTGTTTCTGGAGGTTGAGTCTCCTCAACATGATTTAGAGCTTCATCCAGAAGAACATCCCCTGTTGGTGCATCGGACTTACAAATCACCTTTCTTGTCACCTTTCTTGTTAAAAGACTTTTACGTCTCATTCCACAAGCCTCTAGTTGTAACCTTCCTCTCAATGCTAATTCAATCAACACACAGCCACGTAATCCAGATGATATACAGTCATTCCAAAATGATGTATAACCCTCTCGGTCCTTGAGGCCCAGCAGGAGCACCTCCTCCATCACGGTCAGCCGCGTTTCCTTGGAGTCGCCCTTGTCGTCGTCATCCTGCTCGTCGCGGCGGCTCTGGGCGGCGTTACAGGAGGCCTCAGTGCGCCGCTGCACCAAGCCCGAGCTGCGTTGGGTCAGCGAGGTCATGGCTCGGGCCAAGGAGCCGCGCCGGGCCGAGAGGGACGCGGGACCGACCGGGTCTCCCTCCACCTCCTCCTCCTCCTTCCCCCGAGGCCCCGACCCGGGCTTCCGTGTTAAATCACTGTTCTGGGGCGACGTGGGTCGGCAACTGGTCCGGGAGCAGTCATGAGGAGACGGGTCGGGGTGAGGCAGGTGGGACCGGCGTCGGCAGGGCGGGAGAGGAGAGCGCCTTCCTGCGGGCGGCCGCTGCCCCAACATAACCCAAGCTCCCCAGCCGCAAAAACACATTTTTAAAGGTTGTTATTTGGAGAAATGTTCCCTGCTTCATATTTAACTATGTAAGATTAATATTTAAGATTAAAAGTGTTATTAATTTACCAAGCTTTTTTGGGGGGGAAGGGGGTGCATTGTAACAATAATAGTGAGATTCATTATGCCACATTTGTACGTGTACATAACATAATTTGATCAGTCTTATTCCCCAGTAGCTCCCCTTTCACCTGCCTCTTCTCCTCTGATTCCCTTCCTCTACTGGTCTGCCTTCTATTATTTTTTTTAATTAGTACATTATAATTGTATGTAAAAGTGAGATTCATTGTGTTATAAATGTACATGAACAGAGCATAATTGATTAGATTTCATTCCCCAGTATTTCTCCACAGCCTCCCTTTCTCTCTCCATCTTGATGCCTTTCTTCTACTGGTCTTCTTTCTGTTTTCATGAGATTCCTTCCCCCCTGCCCCCTCTCCTCCTGTCTCTCTAGCTTCCACAAACGAGAGAAAATTTAATAAACTGAACAAAAGTTGTATTTTCTATTACCAAATACTACCAATTTAATATTAATAAAGGTGTAATCATGTACTTACAAAGCTTTTTATTTTTGGGGGGGGTGGGTAGGGGATGCTGGGGATCAAACCCAGAGCCTTGTATATGCAAGGCAAGTATTCCACCTCTGAGCTACATTCCCAGCCACTACAACACATTTTTAATGAATCAAGTTATTTGATTTTTCTCTCACAAGGACTTGAAATTTTCACTTGAGGATCAAAAACAGAGAAATATTCAACTAAACCTACTTTTGGAAGAGCAGAGACAACTACTATATGAATCACAGCAGAAAACAGAATCACAGAGAATGCTATATGATGCCCAATTATCAGAAGTACAAGGCCGAAACTTAGAGCTTCAAGTACTTCTTGAGTCTGAAAAAATTCGAATTCAAGAAATGAGTAGTATTCTAGATAGGGAACGGCAGTTCCATGCACAGCTACATAGCAGTGACAGTAGTGGGCAGCTTCGGTCATCATTACCCTCAGATGACCTTCTTATAGAGCTACAGAAACAGCTGGAGGAAAAACACCGTCGTATAGTAGAGTTGTTAAATGAAACTGAAAAATACAAACTGGATTCTTTGCAAATGAGACAGCAAATGGAAAAAGATAGACAGGTTCACAGGAAGACATTGCAGACAGAACAGGAGGCCAATACTGAGGGGCAGAAAAAAATGCGTGAGCTCCAGTCCAAAGTTGAAGATCTTCAGCGCCAGCTGGAGAAGAAGAGGCAACAAGTTTATAAGTTAGACCTTGAAGGAAAGCGATTGCAGGGAATTATGCTGGAATTTCAGACGCAAGAAGTAGAAAGAGAAGAAAAACGAAGTAGACGAATTCTGTATCAGAATCTTAATGAGGTAAATTGACACTTTGTTTCTTTTTAAATATATTTTAAGTTATTTGAGCAAGTTACTTGTCATTTGAGCAAAAACTTTTGATATTGATTAAAGTATTTAAATAGTTAAGTGAAAATTATTCAAAATTAATTCTATAAACCTTATTTGGAATATAAACAATAATTGTGCTCCATTTTAAGAAAGAATATGAAACACTATATGTTTATAATTATTGTTTTGTTTTATCCAAAATCACCAGCCAACCACCTGGAGCTTAACCAGCGAAAGAACAAGAAAGTGGGTTATTCACCAGAAAACAGGAGAGGAGAAAGAATATGATTACCCTGAGGTGAATGGTGGAGAAACTGAAGTAGAAATGCTGAGACAAAAACTTCAAGTGGTTGCTTCGAAACTGCACCATCTAGGCCAGAAAGCCTATAATAGGTTAGACTTTTCTGCCTTATCTTCAGAAATGGCATTCTTAGACAGGCTAGGTAGACTCTGTCCCTTATGAATAGGTAGCCAAGAGTAGAGAATTAAAATTTTAAAGATGATGCATATTTACATTAGGAAACATCATTCTTTAAAAATAGCCCATATGTCTGAAAATACCTTAACGCTTAACCCAGGAAAAGAGAACACTTAGCCTAAGGAACAAGTGATAAGCAAAGCAGTGTGTCCCCTAATCTGTGGTGTTTGTGTTAGTAACATCCCTGAGGAGGTCTGTATTGACTTTGTCTTTTCTTTGAAGACTACAGTTTGAAACAGCAGATGATGAAGCTTTCATTTGGGCACAGGAAACTATTGATGAAATTACTTTACAACTACAGAAATTAACTCACCAACCAGGTGAAGAGGTAAGACTTTTAATTAAAACTCTTTGTAAAATATAAACAGCAAAGATTTAATAGAAATTATGAATCATGGGGCTGAAGTTGTGGCTCAGTTGTAGTGAGCTTGTCTGGCATATGTAAGACACTAGGTTCAATTCTCAACACAGCATGTAAATGAATGAATAAAATAAAGGTCTATCAACATCTTAAAAATATATATATGAATCATTTGAAACTGGCAGTATATGCTATATAAGCATTTTGATCTTTTATTAAATTTTAAATATAACATTTGCCAAGTTACATTGGCCTCTTTTTAAGAGACCAGGCTTTTTGAAAGAGCAGTCTGAGATGTACCCTCACCACTCCATAAAACCACTTGCAGAATCCTACCAGTGTCTTCACAAGTGACTAATCTGGTAAATCTCCTCACTCCCTTTCTTTCTTGACTTTGTAGAATTTGACATTTTCAGTGTCTTCCACCTTCTTGAACCCTTCTCTTTTCTTGCCTTTTATGTCAGTATTTTTTCATCTGCTTCTTTATCGGTTTCTTTCATACGTTCCTCTTCTGTCATTTTTCATGTTTTTATCTATTCATGTTTATCATTCCCATAGCCTGAGTGCTCACTAGACTTACCAAGTGATAATATATTTTATATTGAGCACCTACTATATGCCATGTATACTAAGTCTTAGGGATACAATGAACAAATTTGACAGAAATCTTACCCTCATGAAGATTATTGTCAAGTAGACAGTAGCTCCATTATAGACCTTTGACCTGGACTCAAGTCCATTTCATTATTAACACCTTTTCTTTAAGAAGTATACCCCAGGGCTGGGGTTGTGGCTCAGTAGAGGAGCACTTGCCTAGTGCTGTGCAAGGCCCTGTGTTCAATCCTCAGCACCACATAAAAATAATAAAACAAAGGTATTGTGTCCAACTACAACTAAAAAATAAATATTAAAAAAAGAAGAAGAAATATACCCAATAGTGTCTTAGGAAATTCCCAGGCACATTCCAAATTGAACATCATCTTCCTTTATCCTCATGCCCTAGACCCCCTTTCTGGTCATGGCATCACCCAGTATAAAACCCAAGTCACCATGCACTGTTTTCCTTCACCCTTGACCTGTACATCTAAGCAGTCACTAAGTTCTATGTCTTCTACCTCCTTAAATATCCATCCCATTTACCCAGGGCTGGGGATGTGGCTCAAGGGATAATGCGCATGAAGCGCGGGGCGCTGGGTTCAATCCTCAGCACCACATAAAAATAAAATAAAATAAAGATGTTGTGTCCACTGAAAACTAAAAAATAAATATTAAAAACTTCTCTCCCTCCCTCCCTCCCTTCCTCCTCCCCCCTCCCCACCCCTCCCCATCTTCCTCCTCCTCCTCCTTCTTCTCTCTCTGTCTCTCTCTCTGTCTGTCTCTCTTTCTCTCTCTCTCTCTCTCTCATGAGGAGTTCGCCTAACACTTGGATATTGTGTCTACCCTAATTTACTTTACTGTGCACATAGCTACCAAAGGAACTTTGTGGCAAGCTCCTGCTGAAAGCCTTTCATGGCTCACAAAGACTCTCCATTGCCCTCATTTATGTCTGTTATTCATAAGTGAAGCAGCTTTTACTCTCTAGCCTTACCAAGCAATTTACAACTCCCTAAAAGCAATATACTCTTGCATAAACGTTTGAGCTTTTATATGTGCCTTTCCTTCTGTTTACTAGATTTTTTTCTTGCTTGCTAAATTTCTATGATTTAACCAAGCAACAGTTTGTGAAATCTGTTGCTTTCAGTGCCTCGACACACTTTCACATATATTTGTGCTTGTGTGATCTTACATCCATTTTATTTTTTCAGCCTACCTTAGTATTACCAGGTACTTCTGGGTGTTCATTGACTAAAAGACTACTCAGACAAAATACTGAACTGACAGGATATATCAGCCAACTGACTGAAGAAAAGAATAATTTGAGGAATGTGGTCATGAAGATGGAAGAGCAGTTGAGGCGCTGTCAACAGACAGGAACTGGTGGAGATTATGTACGTCATTTTCAGAAGTAGTGCCAAGTTACAATTTCTGCTATCTAATTTTGAATGTAAAAGCATCAGGTCAGATGTGTAGGAGGATCTGTGGAAATTTTTATAGGGATGACTGTAATATTAATAGCTATTATTTTGTTGAGGGAGCCGTCTCTGTACCAGACTCTGAGAACACTGACCTGAAGTCATAATCCAATCTATGTCTATGAATGTCCAAAGACAGATACAGTATTGACTGTCAGCAGACATGTGTAGAGAAATGTTCAAACGTGAATCCTCACTGTTGTCTTCATTATTTACCACTTACTGTGTTTATGACTCAAGTGGAAGATGCTTTGAAATTATATATTTCAGTTTGATAAACCACTCTGGGAATTTAAATATTTCCATTTTTTTTTAAACCTACAGAATAAATTGCTGGTTTCTATAATTACCCAGTATAAAAATAGGAAGAAACGGTAAGACAAGCATACAGTCAAATGGATGATAACATCTCTTCATGGCTTCCATAGGAAACCACTTCCCTTCTTCCTACTGGGTTATTTTTTTTCTTTTTTATCTACACTTCTCTAGTAAGGGCTCCACATTTGGACCCCTGTGTCCATCTCTTAACTCTCTCAACATTTTTAGTAAAAGCTCTGCTAAATCTGATAAACCTTTTCTGTGGCTAGGCTTTCACCAAGGACCTTTAGGGGTAAAGCTAATCTACTCAGCAAAATGACCATATACTTGGAGTTAGTAAATATTTTTTAATGCCAGCTGAGATTGACTTTGAGGATGAAAACTAAGACTAGATATCCATGATAGGGATACTTTTAATATCTTTAATTCAGCTTTTTCTTCAGAGATGTGTTCTTTATGTAAGTAGTTGGGCACAGTGGCACACACCTATAATGCTAGTAATTCAGAGACTGAGGCAAGAGGATTACAAGTTTGAGGCCATCCTCAGCATCTTAGACCCTGTCTCAAAACAAAATATAAAGGGCTAGGGACATGATTAAAGTGGTAGAGTGCCTCTAGGTTCAAGCCCTGGTACCACCAACAAGGGCAGGAAATTATATAAGTAGGCTGTTGTCTCTTCAGTCTTCTAGGTTTTTATTCTGTGGTGATGCCAACCTTGAAGCCATTATTGCTTCTGAAAAAGAAACATGGAACAGAGAAAAATTAGCTCTTCAGAAAACCTTAAAAAAAACGGAAGCTGAAGTATATAAACTGAAAGCTGAACTGAGAAATGACACTTTACTTCAGAATCTGAACACTGATTCTGAAAATGTAAAGGTAGGTGACATTTTCCTTCTAATGATAGTCCTCCATTTTTGCCTTTTTTCATCTCTCTGCCCTTACCCAAACAGACTAAAGAAATGTGGGTGGCGCTCAGGTTGTCTCCGGAGGCCATTCAGTGTGTTGTGATTGCAAGGTCTCTAGCATGTCACAGAAGGTTTGTGAAGAGGCATGCCTCTTCTGGGAGGACTGGTAACAGGTTAAGCTCAATTAATTGTCATGGTGTCAACACCCAGAGCTGGTTGTCCTTCCGCCCACAGTTTCTATCTCAATAGACAAATAGTACTGTTGTCTTTTCAATTCCTCACAAACATACTGCTACTGTCAGTGTAAGAACATTGTGCCCTAAGATGGGAAGCCCTTGGAGTAGCCTCTTTAATGTGTAGAGATTAATATAGTAGTAAAACTACCATAATCACTTAATGTAAAATCCAAAATAAAGAGAAAGAAAAGTATTGGGAATATTTATTCTGATTATGGAGTAAACATAAATTTATGACTTATACAGTAACAGAATAATTGGCTTATTTAAAAAACTAAATAGATGAGTGACCACAATAATAAAATAGCTCCATGAAAATTTTAATTCTCAGATGAAAAAGATAGCTCTATACATAAGAAAACACAAATGATAATAGGAGGACAAAAATATTTACAATAATATCATGAACAGGGGCTAAAACTCAAACTAAAACCATAACTATAAGGTTAGTATTTACACACCATACAAAGTGGCAAAGTTATAATGGTTAAAGTTACATTAACCTTCAACTTTGCTGATGAAGCTAAAAACAGTACCTGCCATCCTACAACTGCTTTTTTTTTTTAATCTAGGTAATAATCATCCCCTAGAGAACAATTTGAATGACTTCTTAATAATGACTTTATGTTCTTCCCTTCTTTAAATGTAGAGGACTTATGGTAAATACTTGAGGGCAGAAAGTTTTCGAAAAGCTCTCATTTATCAGAAGAAATACCTGCTGCAATTATTGGGCGAATTCCAAGAATGCGAGGATGCAACCATAACGCTGCTTGCCCGGATGGGGGGTCAGCCAGCCTTCACCAATCTGGAGTTCATCAGCCGCCCAAAGGGTTTATCCAGATTTCGTTCAGCTGTCAGAGTGTCCATTGCAATTTCACGGTAAAGTTCTTGAAAGAAAATTGATTTTATTCAGAGACCCTCTAAAGGGATATTTGTCCTGTAATTCTAGCTACTCAGAAGGCTAAGGCAGGAGCATTGCAAGTTTGAGGCCAGTCTCAGCAACCTATTGAGACACTATGTCAAAATAAAAAGCAAAAGAGGTTGGGGATATGGCTCAGTGGTAAAGCAGTTCTGGATTTAATCTCCAGTACCATAGGGAGGAAAAAAAAAAAAAGTTTGTATATGGGCTGGGGATGTGGCTCAAGCGGTAGCGCGCTCGCCTGGCATGCGTGCGGCCCAGGTTCGATCCTCAGCACCACATACCAACAAAGATGTTGTGTCTGCCAAGAACTAAAAAATAAATATTAAAAATTCTCTCTCTCTCTCTCTCCTCTCTCACTCTCTCTTTTTAAAAAAAAAAAAAAAAAGTTTGTATAGGATTTCTTTGCCATCCCTAAAATATAAATTTCTCTCTGGGTTTTCATCCTTTTAGCAAGGACTCTTTATTCTGTACTGTGTAAATATACCCTTTGGAAAGGGCCTTCTTAGGTACATGCAGCTGGTGACTCAAGCTGGCACATCCAGTCCAATTGTCATTTTTTAATTTGAATAGACCCATGAACTAGCTTATACATACATAGACATAAGAGAGATCATAAAAAGGAAAAGCTTTTTTTTTTTGAAAAATCACACCTCATGCCGGCATACATCTGTCTTCCTTTCCTACTAAAATAACCTGTTTTTTACCCAACTCTGGAAAGCCCTGGTCTACCTCTGCATTCAGGTCCAAGGTTGGCCTTCAGGGATTCTGCTAGTGCTTTTGTCACTCTTTTCCTAGTAGTTACAAGCTAGGAACTTTGGCATTCATTCCATATGTGGTTGAAACTACCTTGTAGTCATGAACCACTATTGTCCTCTTAACTAGTAGATAAGATAATCAGGGGCTGGGGCTGAGGCTCAGTGGTAGGGCGCTTGGCTAGCATGTGTGAGGCACTGGGTTTGATCCCTAGCACCACTAAAAAAATAAAATAAATTTTAAAAAGATCACTCAGACACTTAAGCTTCTCCATGTGTACCCTCCTTTTTATTTCTCTGAAACTCAGCAGAGTCCCAAAGGAATTTTGTTTCTTAAAGTAGTTCTTGCCAGGTCACATTTGATGCTTCTTCAAAGGATTTTGCTTTTTTTTTTTTTTTCTTCTTCTGAAAAATGTGAGTTTTGCTTTTGTTTCTGTGTTTTTAAACTTGAGTTTCCTTAGTTCCAAATGTCAGTTCACAAATGAGAAAAACAGGACAAGGAGGGGTTATAAACCCAGTAGGGACAATTAGCCTGGTCTCTCTATTGCACCCATGCTGGCTCTCTAAAAGCAGATCAGGTCTTCCACCGTGCCTGCCTCTTCTACTTATTGTAGTCTCACACTCCAGTTTCTCCTTTCCCACTTCTCATTCCCAACATCACCATGTGTCTGGCAAACAAAGGGTAATCACTGGCAGATACATTGATGAAAAAGATGTAATACCTGCCTGAAATCCAAAGACAGCTCACTTTCTGTTGGGGAAGGGCCATATACTCAGAACTTAGAGGAGACACTCATGTGAAGTCTCAGGAGTTAGCCAGTCATTTTGATTAGAGGAATTTGGGGAGACTTATATTTTGACTCTCTTAAAATTGAGTCTTGAAACAGACTGGTTCCACAATGTGCTTTCACCTTCAGAATTATGATCCTGACAGAGCCCTGGCACTCCAGAAAGCTCTCTAAGCCAAGATGGGCCACGCAGCAGTAAACCTAATGCAGCTGTATGATGACATTAATACCCCCATTCATTTAAAGCCAGCATTGTTTTTTGTTCCTGGTCACATGGCCTCACCCATCCTCCAGCTTTCCCAGCTCCCTCTTATGGGTCCTTTTATTCTTTTTTCCTCTCATCTACCTATCATCCACTATTCTATTTCCTGCGGCTACTTTCTTTCTGTGTGTATTTTTTGCCCTCCATCTCTTCCGGTCTCATTAATCCGTAAAGCTAGAACCTGATTCTGGCAACACCAAAGACCTCTGTTTCCCCTTGGAAATGAGGTGAGGGGAGCTTACAACTGTGTTCTTCTGTTCCAGTTAATTTTGCCATCAACCCAGGTGCATGTACATAGTTTTGGATTAGGAAATTGTGATTGTTGAAATCTGATCTGTGCTCATATTTAAATGATTTTTGTAGAAGGTATATTTTATGATCTTTATAGATATGCTCTGATGTCTTATCTTGGAATCTTTTTTTTAGAATGAAAATTTTGGTTCAACGGTGGCAGCAAGTCACAGGTTCTGGTTCCACCAATGTTAACAGGGATGGCTTTGAACTGAATCCAGGTAAAGTCAAAATAGCATATTTCTACATTTACAGCCCTCTAAAATTATTAAAAATGTAATATCTTCCAAATAGCAAATTCTGGAGCCAGTGTTTTCCAAAGATAAAGGAGCTTATAACTAACAAGGCTAGGGACTTCATTGTTTTAAAGAGAATAAGAATTGCTGATTTTTATGGGCGCTGGTCTATACTAAGCCCTGCTTTTTTCATATATTCTGCCAATCTGATGTAATCACAATTACTATTATTCTCACTTTACAGATGAAAAATTGAGCACTGGAAAACACATGGTATTTGCCCCAGATTACCCAGTAGTGCTGCCCAGTAGGGGCACTTAAGGCTCTGGGTTCAAGAGAGAATAGCTATTAGTCATGTAAAACAGTTATGGTTTGAAGTTTTCATGATCTAATAATACTCAAATGATTTGAGTTTACTACTACGTTGTATAAAAATAAGAACAGTTAAAATTCCTTCTCTCTACACCTAGAATGAAGTAGAAAGAACATTAGGGCTTGAACATTTGGGATATAAGGATGAGGTCAAAAGCGGGAGAGCACAGAGTACAGAGAAAAGGGAAATTTCCATGAAAGTATTTTGAAATATAAATGCTTGCACTGAGAAATTTTTATCTGTGTCATACCAAAAATTAGCAAATCTTGATTTCAATTTTTTTTCCTATAAAAGGAGAGTGGAGTCATAAAGGATCTGGTTACATTAGTCTAATTTTTCTTTTCCACATTATCTTTTCCCCCAAATGATAACACATTCAGAAACCCTAAGATTGAGGTCTTTTAGAAATAAAATACTCCAGTTCAGTAGTTTTTCTTTGAAGCATAGTTCAGATACCAGAAATACTCAATTTCAATAACAATATTGAAAGCTTAAGTTTTATCTGTACTGTTCTCTTCTTTAGCAAGAATAATTGAAAATTATTATTATAAGTAAGACAGCATGGTATAATACACTATATACACATGGTATAATACTGTTTTGTAGAAATGTTCAAGGGCTTGGTTTTTAGTTTTTGTTGTGTTTTGCTTTGTTATCTTAACATCTTGCATTACATTAAGGTGCTGAAAAGACTGACCCATTTTATCATTCTTCTGGTGAACTAGATCTAGATGGAGAACCAAGACATACAACATACCGCTCAAGATCAGATCTGGATTCTCCTAGGTGCCTTTTACCATTTCAAAATAGGTAAGAATTAAATGTATTAATATCTAACAGAGAAAGATGGACACTGATAGGACTTTGGCAGATGGACATCTTTAGTTGTAATTTGTTTAACCTATGGCCCAGAATCAAAGCTAAGTTTTAAATTTGTAAATGGTTTCTAAGGTTAACGGAAACAGAGCTGATCAAATGTTGCTTACTATATGCCATAGTTAGACATTGGAAAAAGTGTTGATTAAAATTGATAAGTCCCTGGCCGTTAGAGAAAATGTTAGTCTGCATGACAGATGCATTTTTACATATCCAACATTTACTGACAAACTGACAGGTTTTATACTTGGCATTTTCATGAAGCCCTAGCTTCTTTGAATTTATTGAAGACCAATTTCTTTCCCATCCCAAACTTAGAAGCATGGGGGATATAGATCATATAATATGTACGTGGCCTGCCTTCCGGGGTAGGGGAGGATGCAGGTGTGTGATGTGATTGCATTGTTTCTGGGTAATTTGGTTCATGTACATTGCTTTTAATCCTTAGGTCTCCAGGCACCCTAGCTGATTTAAATCCTGGTTCCACGGCGTGCTCTCACCTTCAAAATTATGACCCTGATAGAGCCCTGGCAGATTATATCACTCGGCTAGAGGCACTACAAAGAAGACTTGGAACTGTACAGACAGGTGCTTAAGTTTAACCACTTATTGGTAGTGCCATAGTGCTAGACCCACAGCTCTCCTCATTTTGAAACTCCTTAACCCTCATTGTTTAGAATAAAATCTACTTCACTTACCAAGTTAGGTAAAGCTTAAACTGTGTAACCAGCATCGCAACTAACTTTAGAGTACTCAAGACATGATTTATCACCTCAAATCCTGCCCACCCCCAAATAATTCCCCTACTACCTCTTCATTCAGTAGATTGCTCATAGAAAATACATGATTGAAGACTAATGTGGGAAGGTGCTCTGAGGTAATGCATGGTAGAAAGTGGTGAGGCATACAGATACTGGTGAGGAAGAGGATTGATCACTTAGTACAACCATTATCCCTACTACTGCCTGGTGCTTTTAAGAGTGATCAAAAAAAAAAAAAATTACTAATTTTCTTTCCTCAAAAATATACCTGAAGTGTCATACTTGATAACAGAAGTGGATTCTCTATTCATTATGAGAAAACTTCTTTTCTCTGTCTTCCTTTAGTTCACTTCTGATCCAGAGATTTTGAATCATTTTAGTTTGAATTGTATTCAGTCTACTTTTACAGTTTTTTTTTTTAACTTTTATTAATGATTCTCTTTTCCTACTAGTCCCACAAACTCTGTGGACTAATATCAGATTGAGTTAGTAGTTATCTCTTCATTCATTCATTCAAAAAATTCATGTGTTTAACACAAGTAACATGTAGTACTAGGAAACTCTCATTATTATAGTTGAAGTCTGTTTGTTGGTTAAAGGTTTGTTTTGTTTTAAGCATCCAAATTTCACAAGACCCAGAATCTGAAGACCAAAATATTTTTTAGGATATACTAAAAATATATAGAACTTCAACCTTTAGAACACTTTATATTAGCATGATTCTTGATTCCTTGCTTTAGAACCACTCTTGATGACTTGTAAGTATAGTCAAAATCTCTTTAAAAATCAGTTGAACTATGAATAAGACGTTTAAGGAACAAAGGGCATTTTTTCTGATGGAGAGTTAATTGTAATCTTTTTGTTATCTATACCAGCTAATTTATATAGAACAATCTAATTTAAAATCATGCAAAATGTCTTGTTTTTCTCTTACAGGTTCAACTACTACATTTCATAGTGGTATGAGAAGATAATACTTTAAAAACATCAAAAGTTGAAGTGATTTTAAACAAATTCTCTTTTGTAAATCGAAGATTCTTTTCTGCTTTTATATTGTGAATATTTAATGGGACCAAAACAAACACAGCTTATGATTGTATCAGATCTCTTGCACATGAAAACAAACTGGAATTTGTACATACAAGCATTGTGTATGTATTCATGCACAATAATCACTAAATTACGTGTATATTTGCGGAATGTTAATTTAAATAATTAAATTATAAACCTTGTGTATTTATCAAATGGGTGAAAAGATCAAACTTTTGCCGATATGATACTGCTGAATGTGTAGCTTATGGTGTCCTGCACTTTTCATTTAAGGCTACTGAAATTACATGTTTCTGCTTAATATATTTGCTACTGGTGATGAAGACAGAAGATATCACTTGTAGACACCTATTTTTGTATAATGGTAGAAGTTTTGAATTTTATGGGATATTTTGTCAAAGCACTGAAAATAAAAATGACTTCACCATTTTCACCACACTGTATTTGAAACTTCTTCATTTTTAACTGAGCCATATAGTTCCTGGTGCATATCCTCATAAATTACTTATCTTAAATATGCAAGACCTTAGGATTCAAACAGAAAGTTGTCCTTATATAATTGGATATTAGGGTTTTGTATGAAGGTTTTCCCTCTGCCTTTCCATCAACTTATATCTAAGGATAATATTTCTTAAAAGCCATATTTATTCAATTACATTTGGTGTTACATGTATCTAATGGTATGTCTTTACAATCTGTGGCCCACTATGACACAAAAATCATTTAGCTCAAATAATCTAAATTTATTAGTTAGATTTCAGCAGAATCAAACAGAATTCCTGCTGCCCAACACAATTCAGACTGGGAAGCTGTCACAGATGTTGTTTCTTTATCTAGACTGTTCCAATAACATGGCAACTCACTAAAACAGGAATTGTATTTTTTGCTAATGTCTGGAGGATTTTGATGTCCTATGATTTAGATCAACACAAATAAGCATAGTAACGAGTTGTACATTCTTGGAAGTTTCAATATTAGCAGCTGGGCTTCAGTATGAGGATTTCTAAACATAGCAAAAGTATCCTAAAGCTAGTGGAAGGGGAGAGTTGTGGGTAAGAACCAGAAGCTAAAATGATTGCCATTCAGGACTATTTTGTTGTAGACACATGACAAAAGCAGATGGACATAAGGGGAGGGAGGGGAAAAGAGAGGAGGGAGCAAGAGAGGGATAGGAATGATGGTGGAATGAGTTAGACATCATTACCCTAAGTACATGTATAAGACATGAATGGTGTGAAAATACTTTGTGTATAACCAGTGTCTTGAAAAATTGTGTTCTACATGCGTAATATAAAATGAATTGCATTCTGCCATCCTGTATAACAAATCAGAATAAATTTTTAAAAATTTAAAAAAGGGCAGATGGACAAGTACTTAGCAACAGCAGTTCTCTCCAACTGTTGACCATTAAGCCTCCTTATATTAGGCCAATGCAGTCACACTACTCATGATTCTCAATAGTCTGTAGTTTAAAAACTAAATCCGTAGTGCTTCCCTAGCATACACAAGGCCCTAGTTTCAAGCCATAACACCATAAAGCAAAACTGAAATCAAACTTCACTAACAGAGCAGCTTTGCCTAGGGTTCTTAACTTTTTTCTTTTTTAAGTTGTCAATGGACCTTTATTTTACATATTTATATGAGGTGCTAAGAATCAAACCCAGTGCCTCACACATGCTAGGCAAAGTGCTCTACCACTGAGCTCTACCCTGACCCACCAACTCATGCTTATCACATAGTTAATCCCAGCTCCTGACCACTGACAGGAGCACCGACATGGATCTCTTTAGCCGTCTGCCAAAGCTATCAATCCTGATTTTCAGAATGCTTTTAAAGACAATATAGGCATATATATATATATATATACATATGATTCCAAAGAAAACCAATTATACACAAATAATTACTAAACTTTTCAAGTTGTGATATAGTACATATTAAAACATTAAAGTGTACTATAAGCCACCTATAATCCCAGCTGCCCAGATCCACCCACACCAACCTACCCAGGATCCCTGCTCTCAGTGGTGCTGGTTCACTCCTCCACAAGCAGGGCAGACACCACCAGAGTCTAGCCTTTGGTGCAGGACTTCCCCTTCCAACCAGCAGACTACCACAGGAGGTCAAGCCCAGCGGCTCAGAGCCACCCATTCCAACTTAAGCAGGACCCAGATCCAGGATGTAGTAGCATTTATTGAGGACACCAGCAGGGCCTGGAAGCCCAACATCAAGGTGAGGTGAAGACATTCTGCACAGGTACCACAAAAATATAGAAAAGAAACTAACATCTCGGATCCACACTGCAAGAAAGGCAGACACACAGACAACATAAAAAAACAAGGGAGGAAAGTGCCCCCAAACAAACCAGGACACGATAATATCAGAACCCATAATATCAGTGAAGTTGATGAAATGTCAGAGAAGCAGTTCAGAGATTCATAATTAAAATAATTTTGGGCTGGGGATGTGGCTCAAGCAGTAGCGCGCTCGCCTGGCATGCGTGTGGCCCGGGTTTGATCCTCAGCACCACATACAAACAAAGATGTTGTGTCTGCCGAAAACTAAAAAATAAATATTAAGATATTTCTCTCTCTCTCTCTCTCTCTCTAAAAAATAAATAAATAAAATAATCTTTGAATTAAAGAATGACCTAAATGAGCAAATACAAGCAAAAATTGATCCTTCCAACAATGAAATAAGAGCAAATACAAGTAGCAAAATATTACTCCGAGAGAGAGAGACACTCTGGGGGAAAAAAAAAACAGAAATCCTTCAAATGAAGGATACAATAAATCAAAAAACTCAATAGAAAGCATAACCAACAGACTAAATCACTTGGAAGAAATATCAGATAATGAAGACAAAGTATACAATCTGGAAAATAAAATTGATCACACAGTGAAGAAAGAAACCATGAATAGAATATCTAAGAATTATGGGACAGCATCAAAAGACCAAATCTAAGAGTCATTGGGATAAAGGAAGGCACAGAGTTTCAAGCCAAAGGAATGTACAATCTCTACAATGAGATAATATCAGAAAATTTCCCAATCATAAAGAACAAATTGGAAAACCAAATACAAGAGGTTACAGGATACCAAATGTACAAAATTACAACAGTTCTACACCAAGGCATACTATAATAAAAATGCCTAGCATACAGAATAAAGATAGAATCTTAAAAGCTGCAAGAGAGGGGAGTCAGACCACATATAGGGGGAGACCACCCATATCAGCAGATTTTTCAACCCAGACCCTCAAATCCAGGACCAAGCTCTGAAAGAAAATGGATGCCAACCAAGAATCTTATATCCAGGCAAACCTAACCTTTAGATTTGATGATAAAATAAAAACCTTCCGTGATACACAAAACTTAAAAGAATTTACAACTAGAAAACCTGCACTACAGAACATCCTCAGCAAAATATTCCAAGAAAAGGAAATTAAAAACAATGATGAAAATTAGCAGAGGGAAGGATTACAGTAAAGGAAAATCTAATCAGGGGAGAAACCACAAGTCACATTAAATACCAAAAATAAACAAAAATGGCTGGGAATACAAATCATGTCTCAGTAATAACCCTGAGTGTTACTGGCCTAAACTCAACAATCAAAAGACATAGACTGGCAGACTGGATTAAAAAAAAAAAAAAAGACTAAACAATATACTCTTTTGTGTCCAAGAGCCTTGTCTCAGAAGACTGAAGGTGAAGGGTTGGGAAAATCATACCACTCACATGGACTCCAGACACAAAAAGGGGTTTCCATCCTTATATCAAATAAAGTAGACTTCAAGATAAAGTCAATCAAAAGGAATAAAGAAGGACACTACATACTGTTAAAGAAAACCATACACCAACAAGACTTAACAATTATAAATATATATGCCTCAAACAATGGAGACTCTACATTCATCAAACAAACTCTTCTCAAGTTCAAGAGTCAAATAGACCACAATGATAATTTTGGGTGACTTTAACATACCCCTGTCATCACTAGATAGATCTTTCAAACAAAAGCTGAACAAAGAAACTACAGAACTAAATAATACAATCAATAATTTAGACTTAACTCACATATATAGAATATTCCAACCTTCAATGAAAGAATATACTTTCTTCTCAGCAGCAGATGGATTCCTTCTCTAAAATAGACCATATACTATGCCATAAAGCAATTCTTAGCAAATATAAAAAAATAGAGAAATTAGAAATCAATGATAAAATAAGAAATAAAATCCACTCCAACACTTGGAGACTAAATAATATGCTACTGAATGAACAATGGGTTACAGAAGACATCAAGTAGGAGATTAAACAAATTTTAGAGGTTAATGAGAACACAAATACAACATATCAAAATCTCTGTGACACTAAGAAACCAGTTCTAATGGGAAAGTTCATTGCATAGAGTTCATTAAAAGAAGAAAAAGTCAACAGATAAATTACTTACCACTACATCTCAAAGCCCTAGAAAAAGAACAAATCAACACCAAAAGCAGCAGAAGACAGGAAATAATTAAAAGCAGAGATGAAATCAATGAAACTGAAACAAAAAACAATTGAACAAAACAACATGCTAACCAAGAGAGAGAAAACTCAAATCACTTACATGATGAAAAAGGAAATATCACAACAGACACTACAAAAATACAGAGGATAATTAGAAATTATTTTGAAAAGTTGTACTCCCATACAACAGAAAACATCGGAGGCATCTACAAATTTCTAAAGTGATAAAATTTGCCCAAATTGAATCAGGATGATATACACAATTTAAACAGATCAACTTCAAGTGACGAAATAGCAGACGCCATCAACAGTCTACCAACAAAGAAAAGCCCAGAACCGGATGGATTCAAAACTGAGTTCTACAAGACCTTTAAAGAAGAACTAATACCAATACTCTTCAATTTATTTCAAGAAATAGAAAAAGAAGCAGCACTTCCAAACTCATTCTATGAGGCCAATATCACTCTGATTGCAAAACCAGGCAAAGACACATCAAAGAAAGAAAACTACAGACTAATATCTCTAATGAACATAAATGCAAAAATTCTCAATAAAATTCTGGCAATTCTAATACAAAAACCTATCAAAAAGATCGTGTGTCATAATCAAGTAGGATTCACCCAGGGATACGAGGTTGGTTCAGCATACGGAAATCAATAAATGTAATTCATCTCATCAATACACTTAAAGATAAGAAACATATGACCATCTCAATAGATGCAGAAAAATCATTTGACAAAATACAGCACCCCTTTATGTTTAAAACACTAGAAAAACGAGGGATAACAGGAACATAGTTCAATATCATAAAGGTTATCTATGCTAAGCTTCAGGCCAACATCATTTTGAATGGAGAAAAATTGAAGGCATTCTCTCTAAAAACTGGAACAAGACAGGGATGCCCTCTTTCACCACTTCTATTTAACA